TAATTACTAAAACAACATGTTAGAGAATGTAAAAGAGATCTAGTGCTTAACCAGAGTAGCTCCTTGCTGCACACAAAATAGGGTTCAATTGTTTTCTCTTTTCTTGTTTCAATGAAGTGAAGAGGAAAAAGGACCTACGAATAGAGAAGCAAAGAGCGACTTACAAGTGCCTTCAAGGTTGTCAAAGATGGAGAAAACAGGTCAAAATTTTTTTAGATGATCAACTATTAATTTTGATCATTAAAATATAAAACATTAGGAAGAACAGAGAATACTAAGATGTTATTTTATGGAAGAAAATGTGTTTGTATGTATATGCGCGTATATGCATACACACATATATGCATGTATATACATATATATGCACATGTGTACACACATACATGTACACACATGTATATGCTGAATCTTTCTTAGAACCTAGAGGGATTTTTTAGTATCAGAGAGCTTAGCTAAGGAACTTCTAGGCATGTTTAACCCTCTGATGCAAGGACTGTCTCTGCTTGATGAGTTTGTACCTGACTAGTTGGTAGTTGTGGAAGCCCTCATACAGCTACAAACAGACAATTCAGAGTTAATGCTTATTTCTTGTTTAAAGGGTGATCCTGGAATAGAAATAAGGAAATGAAATCTCATGACAGTGTCATCATAAAGTCATCAGCCAGATGGCAGTCCTTGAAATCTAATCCTTAGAGGCTTCTCACAATACTTTGTAATATCACATCTAATATTATCTTATTCACAAATTCATATCTATTCACAGAAATTGAAGACAAAGAAATGAACTTGCAGAGGCTCACATTTCTGGCTTTATATGTTAACATGGACTCTATAAAGAATATGATAAGGAAAACGAAATATTTTCCTACATAGGTCACAACAATAATCTATGTTCAGATCTGGGTTTCTAAACTGTACGATTTAGTTGAGAAGCAGGCTTCTCTTTTTTTCCATAAATAGATTCGTTCCTTTTAAGCATAAATGGCTATTTATATTTATTCTATGTAAGATGACAAATAAAAATGATCCTATCAAAAGCCACTGTAGAATTTGAAGACTCATCTGATATATTAATAAACTTAAACAGCAAAATATAAACATTAGTTTACTTTTTTATTATGTCTTGAAACTACAACATGGCAGTGACTGATATCAAAGTAAATTTCTTTCAAGTACATTTTATATCTTATTTAACATTCAACAGTTTAAAACTAAAGATTTTATTACTAATTTAAATATTCTTCCAAGTATATAAAAATTTTGCCTAGGTTTCTCCATATGACTGAAAGTCTCAGTGCAGTCAATACATGAGTGTTTCATAGTAAAATGGTGTCTAATCTGAACTATGAGAAATGATGCAATCAGAATGCTTTCCACAGAATCCCTCCTACCAAAAAAGCTGTAGTTACAGAACTTTTTCAAAGATATGAGATACTTTTTCTCCATAACCCAAATATTGATATTATTAATCTTTCCTTTTTAAGATGAGTTTAATATAACAACAAAAGTGAAAATGCCATCCTGTCATAGTTGTAGTTTTTGAGACCAACAGAAATACCATGGATTACTATGCAGCCATAAAAAAGAATGAGATCATGTCCTTTGCAGGGACATGGACGGAGCTGGAGGCCAATTGTCCTTATCAAACTAACACAGGAACAGAAAACCAAATACCCCATGTTCTCACTTATAAGTGGGAGCTAAATGATGAGAACATATGGACATATAGAGGGGAACAACACACACTAGGGACTATTGGAGCATGGAGGGTGGGAGGAGTGAGAGGATCAGGAAAAATAACTAATGGGTACCAAGATTAATACCTAGGTGATGAAACAATCCGCACAACAAACCCCCATGACACAAGTTTACCTATGTAGCAAACTTGCACATGTACCCCTGAACTTAAAAGTTAAAAAATAAAAATAAAAATAAAAAAGAAAATGTATAAATAGAAAAAAATCAGGCAGAAACAAGCAAATGCATGACAACAAACCCCTGTGTAGAGACAACACTATTTACAAATAGAGGCAATAAGTTTTTTGAAGTAGTGTAGTAAATAATTATTATAAATGTACTCTAAACTGCTTAACCCATTTATGCCTAAGGTTGTAATTTTTTGAATTTTTGCAATCAGACCTTGATGATGACCTTGAACAGTAGAATATAAATAACTCCCACATGCTCAGTGTTCCAATAATGGAACACTAGGATAAATAGCTAAAGTGAACATAGACAAAGATAATCTAGAGCAGGACTATCAATAAAACTTTCTGTGATTGGTGGTTACGTGATGCTGGGAAGGGTAGGGGGTAAGGGGATGAACTTGATTTGATTTTGCAGGCTCAGAGATGGAGGGGAATTTGAGTCAAGATGAATTTTGCCTTGAGTCTCACCTATATCTAATTTATATTAGATTGGACTTTTGAGTTTATGCTGAAATGAGTTAAGACTTTTGGGGCTTTGGGGATGAAATGAATGTATTTTGTCATTGAGAAGAACGTGAATTTTGGGGAAAAAGGGGCAGAATGCTATGGTGTAGTGTTTGTCCCTTCCCAAACTTATGGTAAAATTTAATTGCCATTGCAACAGTAGTAAGTGTGATCTTTAAGACGTGATTAGGACATGAAGGTTCTGCCCTCATGAACAGATTAGCATCATTATTGTCGGAGTGAGTTTCATATAAGGCAAGTTTGGTCCCATTTTTTCTCTCTTTTGTTCTTCCACCTTCCATCATGGAATCATGACACAACAAGAAGGCCCTTACAAGATTCCAGCTCCTTGATCTTGGACTTCCCAGCCTCCAGAAATATAAGCCAACAAATCCCTGTTCATTATAAATTACCCAGTCTGTGGTATTCTGTTATGGAAGCACAAAAAGGACTAAGACAAGGACAACAGAAGTAGGTTGCATTTGGAGAAAGAGATTGGGAGAAGGCAAAGATGAGTTTAGCTTTGGACCTCTTCAATATGAAGTTCCTGTGGGACATTAACATAGAAAGAAAGCAGTGATCTCTATATGTCTAAAACTCAAAAGATCATTCTCAGCTGGAATTATAGATGGATAGTCATCAACAGACTGAAACTATGCAAGTGGATGAATTCTTGTACAGGGTACATGTGAAGTGAGAAAAGAACAGGGAAGAACTTTATAGACATGAGTCAGAAGTAGCTTGGTGAATTGCAGATTCTCTACAGGCCAAAAATGTGAGTTGGTTTCTAAAATTCTAATTTACTTTACCCACAGGGGAAGTAACTATATGCATTCCTTAGCTGATAGCTTTTTGGAAACAAGCCAAAAAATATCGACTGGAAGTCATTCCCATGAAGAATCCAAAGACCTTAATAAAACAATTTTTTAAAAACTGAAAGAGTTGCTTGGGCCATCAAGGAGCATGAGAATGAAGAGAGGGGTCTGTCAGAAAGAGTAGTACAGATAGAATAGACCAGTGTCCTGAAGCTCTAGTTTCATACCATGAGCAAGCTTTTTTCTTGGCTCCTTAGTTTATATTCCCTAAACTCATCAAATTAATCTCTGACTTTAATTGACTTTTCCAAAAAGGCTTCCCTTTGGGAAGCAGATATTTCCCACTAAGATCTAATGGTTGACTCTCTGATACCAATTGATTCCATGTGAATAATTCTTCCCGAACCTAATCTGTCCCTGTTTAATTGAACACATACAAGATCTGTATTTTGAGAAGAAAGTCCAAGTCTTGCCATTGAGAAAAAGTAGTTACTATGAGAAAATTTCCAAATATCAGTTCCATATTCAAGTTTGCCCTTTCTCCATCGGGGTCTTTTTCATAGGGCTCCAATTAAAACTTTCCAACTTTAGGTTGAATCTTCTTTTCCATGTTCTTTTCCATCTATACACTTACTGTCTGGAATTCAGGATTAGAGTTGCTCTATTCTCCAGGGTCACTAGCTTAAATTCAGCTTCATAGGAGTTTTTACTGTCTAATGTCTAGCTTAGTTTCAAAATTTAGTTGGTCTCTTAATTTCTATGTATCATTATCTTATTTCTCCTAAGACTTCCTGCTCTTAGTTCAAAATCTGTTTTGGCCCCAATGGTGGCTTTTACTTCTCGTTAAAAATCACTGAGCTTATTTTTTCAGTAATTGATGTCATATTTTGGAACTCAATTATTTTTCACCATGGTCTTCCTCATGTTGTACAGGTACTATTTTTTCAGCTGGCACAAGGTAATTGTACATTCTGCAAAGGGAATCATCATTCAAAAAACATTTACTAGCTCCCAATTTTTTATCGCGTGGTTCAGGATCTGGGGATATATCATATAGGAAAGACAAAATCTCTGTCCTCATGGCATTCAGATTAATTTAAAGGACAAATATTTAACAATTAGTTTCATAATTTTATATTTTTATTTATAATTGGAATAAATGCTAGTGAAAAAAGCACTAGAGATCAAGAGAGGTATAATAAGGGTACAAAGCTTAGTTTGAGGAGATACTGTCTATAAGAGCTGTTAATTTCCATAGATATATAATGGGAAATGAAGTGATGAGTCATATTACCCTCCACAAATTTTCCCATTGGGTGTGTGGAGTGAGACATGAGGATGATACCATGGACAGCTATAACTCCATCATGAATCCCAAAGTGACTTATTTATCAAATAACAGGTAAGGCAGTGTGTGCCATGATAAGATAGAAAGATAATTCTTTGGACTTTGGATAGAGTTCTCAAAGTAGACTGATAAATGGCTCTTCTAGCTATAAATCAGTATTTTGCTTTTTGTTTAATCTGTTGGTTATGTCACTACTTTTGTGACAATGGGCAAATGAGATCTTATGTTCCTCATTTTTAAAATAGAAGTCTGAGCCAAGTCAGTGAGTTTAGTTGGTATTTATCATCTTGAACCCTCCCAAGCTCCAGTTTAGCTGGATTGGAAAAACAAATCTTCATGTTCCATACAGTTTCACCACCCCATTATTATAGCCAAGAGTAGTTTTAGAAATAATGTAATTCATACCTTTTATGAATGCTTCCCCAAGAGGCATTGATATTCTCTGTTATCATGTGGACTTTTCTGGTATCATCTGCAGAATAATCCCGGAGAAGTTTCAGGGCCAAGTCATTTGCCACATCTACATTTATCTGCCACTGGCGGAGGTCTTTGGCCAACTGCTATAGATTTTTATGAGAAAGAGAATGAATGTCAGTTTTTTTCTGAAATCTCCAGTGGGAGTGTCTTAAAATACTTCGTAAACAGCTTCTGAATCCTCAGGTCAGAATACGTATATTAGATTGCTTTTAACCTACCATGTTGATTTAGTCAGTCATGACAGTATAAGGTAACCCACCTTTCAGGACAAACTTTTCAAATGCAGCATCTTGAGCAACAACCAGTATCAATTATTTCAACTTAGTAGCAATTAATTGGCAATAAAGTGGGCTTAATTGTTTTATCACAAGAGAAAAAAACTACAAAAATAAGCTCATATGTAATTGTTGACTATGTAACATATAACAACATTTGAACCAAAAAAAAATCTCATACATTTCTTTTCCTCTTCATTAACTTGTTGAATCGTTTATGTAATTAGTGCCATCTACTGGCGTTCAACTAAACGTGCATACAGAAAATATTGAACAACAGAAGAATAGTACTGTTATTCTAGTTACGAACTTTTTGAAGGATCAAAATACTTTTAGAATATCCTACTTTAAAATTGGAATAAAAGTCAAAATATAAGAATCTTGCTAAACCAAATCATCTACATTTTCTTCGTTGTTTGTCTTTGGTAATTCAGTGTTTTCAAACTTGCTATCTAATCACTTGAAACATATTTCAAAGAAAGAAGTCGATTAATGGTAGGGTTTGTCTCGAAGCATATCAACCTGAAATTTCTATTAAACATTTCTGCAAGTGCAGAGAGGAGGCTTCTAAGCATTAAGATAATACTAATTGTTAAGATAGTTATATCAAATTTAATACAATGGGTTAAGTCATTGATAAATGGACAGAGGAACAGGAACAGGTAGTTGAAACAAGAGAAAGAGTAGGATGATTTTATTTAAAAAGAAAAAAGTTAACTTTCAAGTAATAGAAAAATAGAGTATTGAAAAGGTACAATTGGACACCAAATAAATTAACAAAAAATAAAATCCAAAGCTTAAAAGACCAATAAAACTAGCACATTCATGTATTACTGCTGGGGACAGTATCTATTAGGACAATTTGGCAATAGATACCAAGTGACATACAAATGCTTATTCCCATTGACTCAGTAATCTCACTTTTGGTACTTTAGCCTAATACAATCTTCAACAGAAGATCAATACACTATATGACTTAAAATCTTCATTAGCCAAAGCAGTAAAAAAATGAGAAACAGGCCGGGTGCAGTGGCTCATGCCTGTAATCCCAGCACTTAGGGAGGCCAAGGTGGGTGGATCATGAGATCAGGAGTTCGAGACCAGTCTGGCCAAGATGGTGAAACACCGTCTCTACTAAAAATGTAAAAATTAGCTGGGCATGGTGGCAGGCTCCTGTAATCCCAGCTACTCAGGAGGCTGAGGCAGAGAATTGCTTGAACCCAGGAGGCAGAAGTTGCAGTGAGCCAAGATTGCACCACTGCACTCCAGCCTGGGTGACAGAGCAAAACTCCATCTCAAGAGAAAAAAAAAGAGAAACAATGTCAATGTTTAATTCAGGGACATTAAAAGAACATAATACACCATTCCGATGGTACAATATAGAGCAAATGCACACAGTAATCACTGTAAAAAGAACACAATTTTCTTGTGTAAAAAACAGAACACAATTTTTAACTACACTGTGTTTTTTTATCTCTAAGAATACGTAATCATGAGCTGAACACAAAATGGAAGAAATTGAAAATAATGCTTCTGAGGAGAAAAATCATTTTCGTTTTTAATATTTGTTCTTTTGTGTTAGTATGATATGTACAGAATAAAAATCAAACAGTATTCTCAGCATAATTTCAGCGTGTTTGGTTGAACTCCTATTAAACATATACAATCTATATATAAGGTAATTTCTCAGTTAACTAAAACATCCTAGAATCAAACTAAATAATAGTATTTACTGCATATAGCAAATAGATCCAGATTACCAAACTATTACCAAGAAGCTAATGACAATATCACTGACTTTTGCTATGAAAGCAGAGGACAGTGTCTAAAGGCACAGAACATAGTTCCTGCTCTTGCAAAACAATTAACATTTATCCTCGTGGAATGCCTGCCTTTTCTTCTATACTCCTTTTATCAAGCACTGCAGTTTCCATTTGCCACTTTTCAGATCCTCACACTATTTGAAAGCCCTTCTTAGGGAACTTTTGCCAAAGGCTTGCCTTTTCTAGAAATTTCCTAGGGTACAAAATTACCACTTCTTCCCTTCTCCTCCTCACTTAAGCCAAACCTAAAGTGATAAAAGTAATGTATTCCAAGATACGAAAGAACATGTAATTGGCCCTTACTATCCAGAGGGTGCTATTTGCATTTTAAAAGAAGAGCTTATTATCTCTCATCTATTAAATCTCTAATTAATAGCATAAACATCCACAAAACTGAGAACAATAACTTGGTTACCTTTTTTTCAAGTGAATTCCTTTTATAAGAGAGTGAATTGTTAACAAAATACTTACGATGGACCAATATCAGAGCATATATGTATAAGCTCAGGAATACAAAATAAAAACAAAATTTTTAGTAAATATATAATTAAAATCATTTATTTTACTCAAGCAAGTTAAATAACCTTGGAAGCCACCCATCACTCATAGGTTCTTATTTGAAAAGTCTAGATATAAGAGGTTATACTATTTGGATGGTTTCATGGTTATGTGCACATGTTCTAGCCCATATAATTGTATGTAGTTTTTGTATATCAATTACACTTCAAAAAAGCTGTTAAAATTAAAAAACATAAAATGCAGAAGGTGCTAATGAATCTAAAAACATAATCAATAGATCATAAAAATGCCTAAAATTATGAATAACCTATCCTGGAATTTTCCAAAATCTCTGAAAGAAATAGCAAGCTAGAGTTAAATGAGAGATTTCCTACTAAACAAGGTAGTAAAGAGTGAGTCTTGATGTCAGACCAGAGCTTTTTGATGAACTTTAATGCTTGAAAGGCAGAAATATGCGTGCCATATATTTTTCTGCAAAATTGTATTCACAGAGAAAGTTAGGACTGTTATACCTAAGGAAATCCTGACTGAGTGCTAACCCTCACTGAATGCTGCCCAGGTTTTGTGAGGATGTAGGATTAAAAAGTAAAACTCCCACTGATCTTGACTGACATTGAGGGGGCTCAGGCCCTTATATAAACACAAAGGTTCTCAAAGGTAGCCTTTCTCTTTTCTCCCTTCTTAAAGACATTCCCCACAACAGAATGTTTTCCCTTTCTCCTACAGTAATATTCTGCCCGCCCATCTTGGGCTTTACCCAAGTGTCATTCACACTAGGAACCATGACCTTGACCGGTTTTGCCTACCGCTGTGAAATTTACTATGGGGATAACTCCAGACCTCAGAAGGAGTGTAAATTCAAAACTACAATAGACTTCACACACTCCCTTTTCTCTTTCTGAATTCCATTTACAATGGTTTACACCACAGGGAATTGCTTGTGTGGTGATCACGGTATGTGAAGAAATTTAAAATACTGTGAGCACTAGCTTATAAAAAAAGATTGCCTTTGTGTATGTGTGTGTGTGTATGTGTGTGTGTGTGTATTTTCTATGAAGAATATAAAATGCTAAATCCCCAAAAGGTTGGTTCCCCAACCAGGAAAGAAATTTTTCATATTCAAACCCATTATGCTACTACTGCAATATGTGCTTGATATATATTCACAGTATTTTAGGCAGAAAAAGTGATTGTGAACTATGAGACAACCTGAATTAATTTCAAGAATTTCAAGTATTTTTTTCTACTTTATCTTCTCTCTTTTTTTTTTTCTTTGTAAGAACTTATTTTAGTGATATTGACCCTACATGGTAGAAAAGAGAAGAGGAAGTGAAAGAGTAGCTAAAAGCCTGAGCAATACAATGAGCCTGCTAGGTTTGAATCCTGGCGTGATCACTTAGTAGTTATATGGCAAATGGGAAAGTTAAATATCTTTTCTGTGCCTCAGTTTCCTCCTTTGCTAAATGGGAATATTAACAGTATTTATGTGGAAATACGATTGTGTGGGTTAACTTAGAGAATTCAGGGAGAACATTTACAAACGTGCCTGGCATGTCTGAAGGATTACATAAATATTAATCATCAGCATCATCAACATCATCATCATTATCATCATCATCATCACTACTGCTAGTACATCTACTACTAATTTTAATGAGTCAAACTATATTCCCCACAGTGTGAGCCCCTTCTGAACGCAAAGCAAGTAGCTCACTGTTTTATAGACATTGTCTAGAAATGCTGCAACTCTAAAATTCTCCCTTTAACTTGGAAGATAAAAGTGAGTGCAAAGCTCTATCATTAAAATTTTAAGGTTGAATATTGGTTAAATTTGCTTTTAAAATGTGTTTTGTGATATTCACCTACAAGTAAAATAAATGTTTGTTCCAGGTGAACTATTATTTAAATTTTTAATGAGTGTGTCTCAAAGGAACTTCAAAAAAGGCAGTGCAGAGTAATGAAAGGGCATCTTCCCAGGAAGTTTTGCTTGTCCATTGTTTTGCAGTTTGATCTTAAGGAAGTCACTAACCTTGTAAATGCCAGTTTTGTCATCTGTAAACTAGGATGGGGTTACTTGCTCTGCCCATGCCTCCGGCTTGTCCTGAGGTATCAAAATCAAGCAATTGCTTGGAAAATTATAAAACAGGATCCTAATATGTTTATGAACAAAGTTCTACATGTTGGACTTGTTATTTTTCCTTGGATACTGTATTTACATTCATGAACCAAGGGATTCATGGAAAAATTTAGCTCTGTTAGCTAACCACTAAGAGGTCGTTTGCTCTTAGATCCATTCTCTACCCATTTCCTACTCCACTCAGTATTAAGATGTACTAACTCCCATAGGAGCTCAGAATTTCCTGGGATTTCTTGCTAGCTGACTTCTAATTAGGTTAAGTCATGAAACACACTAGTGGGAGATAGAAGAGCATGAGAAAGGGTGAAACAAGAGAATTATCCCCCTTC